TTACAGTAATATCATCATTCTGAAAGTGCATTAGCTATTCAGCACTATTGGTGTGAGTTCACCTCCGTGGTGATACCTGGTATCAATAGTTTAGTTGTGATAGGCTACAATTAATTTACTTTATAAAGATTGTTAATGTAATAACAATAAATTTTTATTTAAATAAAGTCTCGTATTTAATACCTATTTGTGATAAAAAAAAATAGTATTGAAAGTATTTTATTTTAAAAATAATTTTTAATATAAAATTACTATAGTTACTTTATGAAAGAACTTTTTCAACTGAATTAAAGCATTATTTAAGACTTTAACATATATATACAAATTAATCTGAATATTTTGTTGTATTATAGCTAAGAATTCTAATGATTTAATTCAATTCAATTTCAATTCTCAAGTTTATATTAAATTTATTATATGAATTATAACTAACTATTATTTTTAAACTATTATGTTTTTTTATTACTATAAAAGAAAATTTAATTAACAACATGATGCCAAATTAAAGTGATTTTTAATTACTTACTAATTATTACTTAGTAATACAAATATAATATAGTTTTTAAAAAATATTTTAATTAAATATAAATATATATATAGTCTGAATCTTATATAAGTCTATACAAATCTGTTCAATTTCAATTTTTGGGACCATAATTATAGCAAATACTTCTTCCTTTACTAATATCAAATAGAATAATAATTTTTTTAATATCTTAGCAAAATCAAATAACAAAAATACAATTATATCCAAATCATTTAATGACTTTTTTCTACCTTTACATCAATTTATAAACTATAATTGCAAACTTCTATATTTAAAGTAAATATTACTTATTTAAATATATTATCAAATTAATATACAACTTTTTTAATTTTTTTTATTCAATGTCAAGTAAATAATTATAGCTACTTAGAACTCATTAATAAGATATATTGTTTTAAAATTTCTTTTTAATATTAGTTAAGTGGTTACTATAGTTAAGTTAGTATTTAACTTGTTATATTCTTATATATAAGAGATGTTGTTTTTTTTACAATATACAGTATATCTGATATTATATAATTTAAATAAAGAAATAATATTTACTTATTAACCTTGTTATTTCTTTTATTTTCTTTATTTCTTTTATTTCTGTTATTTCTTTTATTTTTTTTATTTTCTTTTGCCATAAGAAAAAGTATAAAAATGATGTAAGGAAATGTAGTAGAAAAGAGGAGTGGAAAAATTAGTCAATAAAATAGTGTTAAAATTGACTTAATTATCACACTGTTCAGACCAATAAAATCTCCCAAATCACACAAACTTACCAAATCTATGCCTCTTTTTGCCTTTAATCCCCCTGTTATGACAGATACCTTGTCAAAGTGTTGCGAAGTCTAGGATTTTGCCATTACTGCTGATAGACCCCTGACCCATGACAATATAGTAAAAATGTTTTATAAATAGAGTTTGAATACCAAAATCTAATTTTGCATAATATAAAATTTTTAATTATATATTACTTTATTAGATTTTTTAATTATTAGTATAATACTTATATTTAATTTAGTATAATATTAGTTTTAATAATATTTATTATTATTTTATTTTGAATATTGTAAAGTGCAAAGATATTTAATTTATTATTTAACAAATAAATAATTGCATATTTAATAATTATAACCGTGTCAATATTTTATAAAGAATATATTATTTGTTTTTTTTCAAAAAATTATAAAAGAGAAAAAATTTTTAAAGCCATATCTTGAAAAAAGTTATTACCTTTTAATATAGTTTTTAAGAAAAAGAATTTACTGATCAAAGAAACAATAAAATGAAGTGATATTTAAAAAAAAAATCAAAGAAAAAATTTTAAAAAGAAAGAAAATTAAATTTTAATAAAAAAAAAAAAAAGAGAAAAAGCATATTATAAAAAGATTTATAGAAAAAAAAAGAATGAATAAAAAAAAGAAATAGAAAAATATAATAGAAAAATCAAGAAAAAAAGACCTGTGAATCCATAGTATAGTAGTTAGTGCTCTACAGATCAGATTACAAGATATTAATCCAATCCTATATAAGAGCAGTTGAATAGAATTAATATGATATCTGGCATCATAACTTGTTAAAGCATTTTTTTCATAAAAAGCTATTTTATATATTAATTCAATGGATATTATAATTGTAATCTTCAAAAAAGATATTGTAGCATGATAATTATCCAGTTGATGCTATAATAATTATTGAAAGTTATAAGATGTATAAGATATTTATTTTCAACTAGTATATTTGATAATTGCTTTCCTAATATCTGACATTTTTATTGTAAAACTCTGCCTAGGTTTTATTACAATTCAATAATAAACCAGTCCAATAATACTTATCTTAAGAAGACATCTGGCAGTAAGGCCAGTTCAGCAGCAATGGTACAAGTTTATACAGGCAATAAAAACTAATTATAAGTTTATCTTAAACATTATTGATTAACATTTAAGCCAGTAAGAAATTAAATAGTTAGTCTAACTGCAGATAGTTATAAAGAAAGATAATATCCAATGGAAGCAAGTAGCATTTTTTATATATGATTTATTTATTATAATAAAATATTATTTCCAGTATGCACTTTCACTTTTCCAATAAAATAAAGCAAATAAACACATCAGTGACACAGCAACAGTAGAGCTTTTATACATTAGTTTCAATCTCTATCCAATAGAATAAGTTAATAAAAACAATCAATATCTGAAGAAATTTTAATATAGTTTAATATATATAAAGGATCAATTAATATTATAGTATAATTTATATATAGCAATGTATATGAATATATGTAAATATTAATCTTAATAACTATTTACTAAGCAAGAAAAAAAAGTAAAAAAAAACAAACAACTTAAAAATTTTTATAAAGAAATTTTAAGTATAAAAAGAAAAAGTGAAAAAGAATTTTTTTTAAAAAATATATTTTGGATTTTAATACAAAAATTATTGGATTAATATAATAAAAAAGAATTGTAGTTTTTTAACTATACTATAAATAATACTTGATTTATTTTTAATGTTAATTAATTAGATTTACCAAATATTAACTAGTTAATATTTTATTGAAATTTATGTGAAATTTCGAATTTTTATTTAATAATAATAATATTTTTTAAATAAAAATAGGTTTATTGAAATTAAAACTAATATTTGATATTTTTGAAATCTTATATTTATTATAATACAATATAGTATATAGAATTCAATTTATTTATAAAATTATCAGAAGTATATGGTTTTAAACAAAAATATATGTTGTTTATGTTGCTTGAATGTAACTGTGTTATGTTTAAAAATAAATAAATGAATAAGAATATTTGATGTTTTGAAATATCCTTATTTGATAGAATTTTTATTTATTTACGAGTTTTTTTATAATATACTTGATGATTCAAAAGGTTTTAGAAATTTAAAAATTCTATAACTTATTGTTTTCATGAAATCATTTAACTAACTTTAATAACTTATCTTGTCATCTAAAAGAAACAAGTGAAAAAGATATATGCAATAGAATAAAATTTGTAATCTGATTGCATAAAATACAACAAATTTAAAAACATATTTGAAGCTGCAATTTGGTTAGGTAGGACTGATAAAACAGTAAAAAAAACCTTGTTAATGGAGAGAAATGAAAAACAAGTATATGAAAAAAAGGAATTTATAGAATATCTTTATACATTTATCAAATCAATCCAAGTTGCACAAAATCTTTATTGCAGTAGTGAAAAACTCGCCGATAATACGGCTTATGAATTATTAATACACGCTTATCATTTTACTGTATTTTGTTCATTTACGTATACAAAAGATTATGTCATACAGCAAATAATATTAGTAATAAATATTGTTTTAAACATGGATCATTATGTGCCGGATATACTGTATTTTACTAAAAATAAGTTCTGATTATTATGTCCCCCCAAAAAATGTTTTACAGTACAGCGTGAAGTTACTAAATCAGCAGTATTATATGGGTAATTATTTTCGAAGGCGGACAGGGATTTTTCGGGCATTAGAATTGTGATCCTAAAATTTACATTGTTTAAAAATAGGGACCGAAAAAATCATTTCTAGCATTTTTTCCCCTTCAAAAATAATTTAATGACATAGAGGTTTCAATAAAAATTTTTTCACAATAGGTGTTAAACTTCGAATGATGCGTTAGTTAGCGCATCATTGCTTGTGAATTTCCACATACTTTTAATAAATGCATTTATTGAAACAATATAATCCCATTCAAAATATATAATGAACATATTAAATTATATAATCTTATATAAAAATGACAACCTTTGTGAAAACCTATTTACATGCTTTTATAAATTATATTATGACAATAAATAAACTCGGTATAAAAATGTTTGGTGGCAATAAAAAAATAACAAATTTTATATAAAAATAAAGTATTTACTGACCAGTGTCTACAACGTAATTGCACGAAATATTGATTTTTGTTTTTGTTGAAGGGCCTTTAACCTTACAGTTGCATCTTTGTTTCCTTGATCAGATGCTTCTCTATACCATTTAATGGCTGCTTCGATATTTTTTTTAGCGCCTTTCCCAGATTCATATGCCTTTCCGAGTTCATATTGTCCAAACTCGTTGCCGCCATTTGCCGAGTTTTGATACCAATTAACTGCTTGTTCTTTATTGACACCAACGCCGCAACCTTTCTTATAACAATTTCCAACGTTATATTGCGCTTCAGGAGATCCAGCTTCTGCTGATTCCAAATATAGATCAAATGCTTTACTTTCATTCTTTTTGATGCCGTTTCCACGTTGATATAGCACGGCAAGATTATTTTTGGCAATGTGACTCTCTTCTGCTGCCCTTTCGTACCATTGAAAAGCATTTGAATAATCAACTTTCGTACCAATTCCTAAGTGAAAACATCTTCCATACTTGAATTGAGCAGCATGAAATCCCATTTCGGCCGGCTTTTTATAACAACGGAAGGCTTCCGACTCTAATTCTATAGTCCCTCTCCCAGACTCGTAGCAGCATCCTAACAAGTATAGACCAATGTCATTATTTTTTGATGCTGCATGTAAATATTGTGTATATGCTTTCCCAAGGTCCTCTTGAATCCCTATCCCCAGTTGATAAAATAGGCCTAAAATTACGCTAAAATTAGGTTCTTGCTGAGAATGGTTTTGTAAATAAACAAGGAGTTCTTTCAAAGTTTTTTGTTTGCTATCTATGTTTTCTTGGATGCATTCTTTCAGACGTTTTTTGGTCATTATACCACTATTAAGTTCATTCCTTACCACAGTAATTAGTGCTGTGAGCAATTCTGAATTCTGTGCAACGTCATCACTATTAAAGTTAACATCGCTGCTGTCCTCTATACAAAGGTCGCTACTAACGCTGTTTTCTATATCAGGATCATTATTACCATCGTCGTTTTCTATACCAGGGTCATTGTTATTATAGTAGTTTTCTATGTCAAGGACATCGAAAGTTAGACCAAGTTGTTTGCTGTCTCCTATATTACCATCGCTGTTGACTATAATGGTAGTTATTGTGGATGTATCCTTTAATGAATGTAATTTATCAAGAACCTCATGAATATTAGGTCTTTCTTTAGGATCCTCTTTTCGGCACTCTAATGAATTATATAATTAGGTGAGATTATTATTTGTAGAAAATCGAGACCAAAATAGTACTTAGGGCAGAAGCAATTACACATACCGTCACAAATTTTCTCGTATTCTAATGGAATTTCTTTTTTTATACGACTAGGATGAATACCAGTACTAAATATTTCCCAAAATAAAACTCCTAAACTATATACATCGGCTTCTTTGCCTCGCTTATACTTAATACCTGGTTTAAAACATTGTGGATCTATAAATAACGCGACTCCCCGGATCTTGCTCTTACTGGAAAATGAATTGTTGTTTCTTTGACCCATTTTTTCCGATAGGCCAAAGTCCGCAACTTTAACATGTCCTTGACAAACCAATATATTCCCTGGATGCTAAAAATATACATAGTTTATTGTCAGAGTTACTATTATTTAACTGTTAGTTCCAAGTAATTGCTTTAATGTTACATACCAAGTCCTTGTGAATAATATCATTAGCATGCATTTCGGCGATAGCACTTGTAATTTGTTTGGCCAGGCGAAGTTTTTCACTCAGATTCAGTAATCTGCTGTTAAGATAATCTCGCAAGTTCCCATTGTCAGCATGTTCGAGAATTAATAAATAACTTCGACGATCTATTTATTTCGAGAGTTAGTTTGCTATCGCTATGGCGTAAATAAAACTGACTAAAAAAAATTGCTTACCTTTTCGAGAAATACCAAAAAATCGAATGATATTAATGTGTTTGTTAACCGCCTGCTGCAATTTTAACTTGTGATAAATGTAATAATTGTATTTTACTAATACTATTTATTTTACATCTTTTAATTAAAAAAAAAAAAGAAGGTTTTATAATACCTCATTAATAAATGCTTCGGCGGCTTCTTTGTTATCAACATTTATATTTTTCATTGCCACGGTCATTTTCGTGGTCTTAATAACGGCCTTATAAACTTTGCCAAAAGAACCTTCGCCAATTAAATTAAAATTTTCAAAGTTATCATAGTCATATACTTCCAGCTTCAAATTATTGATCGATCGTTCGAGTTCATCTACCCAGCATGAAGATTCAGACATAATTTCTAGCAAGAAAACTCTAATTGAGGGATGTGACTGAAGATAAAAGTATTACTAAAATATTTATACACATTATATATACTGTATACTGTACTGTAATATTTAGTTATGAAACAATAAAAAAAAAATTTTTTTTTTTGTCAATAGCATTATCATTGTTGCAAGTCTGTCTACACGTAAAGAATACACGACGTGCGTCTCAATATGATCCTGTGATGCATTGTTATGCATAACTTGCTATATTTTTCTAGAACATTTATTATAGAACATTCGAAGGAATTATTTTTGGTGTTACTGTAAAACGCTAGGAAATAATTCATCAAGGTATGAAAAGTGCCATTGTTCTTTCTATCTCAACATACGTGTGCCGTGTACAGTATATGTAATTAATTCACCATCAAATACAGTACTTACAATTGCTGTAAATTTCCATATTGATATCGTCTGTATGTTACTTTTTATTTGATTGAAATCGGTCGCTTTTGTCTGGAATTCGTCACAACATTTCACGTCACACCATGAGGTAACGTAACTCGATGTAAACTTATTCCGAACTCCGCAGTTGTACGAATGCTACTTTGTTTACAGATTCGCTGCGGATTCTTTAATCCGCAGGTGTAACAACACTTGTATATAGATACGTCAAATTACCGGGACCGACACATAGTATATTAAAAAATTTAATTGAATTTAATCATATGTGCAATATACTGCACTGTATATTGCAATATCATATTTATTTGATATTCAAAAATATACAGTAATTTAAACGTGAGTAATTAATTAATTAATTTATCTTTTTTGAATTAAAAGAATAATATTTAAAAAATATTGGATCGATTTTGTTAAAGCATTGATAGTTATAATTATAATTATAATTTGATTGAATTTTGATATAGTATTAAATGGTTTGAAATTATTATTAAAAATTCTATCCTGTCGTATGATGTAAAAAAAATATCAATTTTTTTAAATCCGTAAATATTATAAATATACCAAATGTTTAAGTAAAATAAAAAAAAATAATTAAAACTTTTTCGAAAAAACCAATCGATGAAAATATCTCTTGATAAAATTTGAAAATTAGTATTTTTAATTATAATTATGGGTGAAAATATTTATGGTATGATTTAGACAAAAAATTAAAATTTTACTGTTTTTTTAATTAATTTTTAATATAAAAACGCACACAAAAATATAAGATGGATTATGATTTTAATTATTCATGAATTTGAGTTTTGTGCTATTAAAGATTTTATTATTTGGGGATAAGATTTAATAAATTCAAAATCTTTAAGTTCAATTTTTATTTTAATTATTTATTAATTTTTTAAAAAAAATTTTTTTAATTATTTAAAAATTATACCTTTATAAAAATTTTTTTAAAGTTCTGTGATTTACTGTATGTCTTACTTTTCTTATTACATCCAATATAATTAAAATTAATTTTTGCACTCCCAACAATTTGTAATTTAATGATCAAAAATTAAATCATAATCAAAAAGATTCTTTAAATAATAAATATCCGATACCTTACTGTCTCTTATAAACTGACTGTACAACTTGGTTTGATAAATCAAACAAAAATTTTATTGTCATTATATAATTATATACATATATTTTTAAAAATATATAAATAAAAAATATATAACTATCAAAGCTATATCTATGCATGTACTGTACATGTAAATGCGGATAATTATTTTTAAAGAATTAAAATTTGAATTGTCAATTAATTACCCTGAAATGACAACCACAGTTTAAAATCCTAATTTATGTTTAAAAAATACTAGCAGCTCTCAGACTTGACGCTTTATATATTTGCATTAGTTATTGCAGGAATCTCTCTATTTCTTCTAAAGATCTCATCAACTTTTCTCCCAAGTCTGTTCCTATTATGAATTATGAAAACGAGGGAAACAACTGCTATAATTGCACAGAGAATAACTGCGATTATTATCAAGTCTAATGGTGGTGATTGTGATGTTGATGTTGCTGTTGGCAGCGATGGACTTATGGTAGTTACTGGTACCCACGTAGAAGCGTTTATGTCAAATAAGTATATCTTGTTATAAGACTTTGTTGGCGATATTACCGAATTTGTAGTTTGACCTGAAGACATACAACCATTAAATATTAGCTTAAATATATGCACAGCGTGAGTATGAATTATGATGCCAGAAATTACCAAACGCAATAATCATGTAATCTCCAACAATGTTAGCGGTGTGAAAAGCGCTGGGAGGTGGAAAGGTTTCATCTCGAGGGAGAATATTCCATGTATAAGGGAGAGTTGTGTTTAAAAAGAAAAGCGGGGGGTCTGGTGATATACCATTATCCGTAATTCCTCCATAAATAATAATACTACTTTTATTTGGTGCTGTTATTTGTAGAATAGTGATATGAATTGGAATAAATATATATTGAGGGAAAAAAAAAAACAATAAAGACAAGTAATGTACGCACTTAAAACCGCCGTATGTCCATAACGGTTTTCAATTATTGCAGAACCAGTGACATTCACATTCTATAGAAGGTTATATATACGGTATAGTTTAAATCAATCTTATACTGCAATTATTGTATAGTAACGTCAAATACAGTATTTCTTACGATATTTGCCCATTGATTCGTTGATGTATTGTACATGATAATCTAGTAAATTAACCTAACTTAGTAAAATAATTCTTTCTTGGCAGAAATAAAAATGAAATATTCTTACATTAGATATTCTGACCGATCGGTAGGAAGAATCGATGCCTCCAATATAAAAAATACTGTCATCTAACATTGTAGCACTATAATATGCTCTTCCCATAATTCCGGAAGTTGTATTGACAATCGAATAGTTTTTGGCTAAGATGGTATTTATGATAATCATGTTATTCAAAATGGTAATGCTAGGTGGAAGTGAACCAGATAAAAATTGAGGAACATGGTATCCACCAAAAGTATAAATTTTTCCTTTAGAGTCGATAACAGCTTGCATGCTTATACGACTTTCGTTCTGGGGAACATAAGAATCTTTC